CTCCCCACCTCCATCAATGAGCCTTCCCTTCCCACCTCCATCAATGAGCCTTCCCTTCCCACCTCCATCAATGAGCCTTCCCTTCCCACCTCCATCAATGAGCCTTCCCTTCCCACCTCCATCAATGAGCCTTCCCTTCCCACCTCCATCAATGAGCCTTCCCTTCCCACCTCCATCAATAAGCCTTCCCTCCCCACCTCCCCATCCCAGAGGTGTTTCTATTGGATTTAGGTCAGGCGAGTGTGGGGGCCATTCAAAGGTATCCATTCCTTCATCCTCCAGGAACTGCCTGCATATTCTCGCCACATGGGGCCGGGCATTGTCTGCACCAGGAGGAACCCAGGACCCACTGCACCAGCGTAGGGTCTGACAATGGGTCCAGGGATTTCATCCCGATACCTCATTGCAGTCAGGGTGCCATTGTCTAGCCTGTAGAGGTCTGTGCAACCCTCCATGGATATGCCTCCCCAGACCATCACTGACCCACCACCAAAACGGTCATACTGAACCATGTTACAGGCAGCAGAACGTTCTCCACGGCTTCTCCAGACCCTTTCATGTCTGTCACATGTGCTCAATTATGGTATTCAATGGCAAATTCCAATCCAGCTCTATGGTGCTGGGCAGTGAGCACAGGGCCCACTAGAGGACGTTGGGCCCTCAGACCACCCTCATGAAGTCTGTTTCTGATTGTTTGGTCAGAGACATTCACACCAGTGGCCTGCTGGAGGTCATTTTGTAGGGCTCTGGCAGTGCTCATCCTGTTCCTCCTTCCACAAAGGAGAAGATACCGGTCCAGCTGATGAGTTATGGACCTTCTACAGCCCTGTCCAGCTCTCCTAGAGGAACTGCCTGTTTCCTGGAATCTCCTCCATGCTCTTGACACTGTACTGGGGGACGCAGCAAACTTTTTGGCAATGGTAAGTACTGGTGTGCCATCCTGGAGGAGTTGGCTGCCTGTGCAACCTCTGTAGGGTCCAGGTATGTCCTCATGCTACCAGTAGTGACACCGACCCTGGACAAATGCAAAACTAGTGAAAAAACAGTCAGAAAAGATGAGTAGGGAAAGAATGTCAGTGGCCTCCACCTGTAAAACCATTCATGTTTTTGGAGTCATCTCATTGTTGCCCATCTAGTTCCCCTTTTATTAATTTCATTAACACCAAAGCATCTGAAACTGATGAACACCCCCCTCTGCTACTTCCCTGACCAGATCCATATCCCAGGAGTGTCATTGACTTAATGCTAGACTGATTACAAAGTCTTCCTTTAATTTTTTTGAGTAGAGTCATTTAAAAAAGTGCAAAAAAATTTTTGAAGACCATTCATGTGTGTGTATGTATATACTGTATATATATATATATATATATATATATACACACAACCCCCCACCTCACCACCTCAGTCTCCGCCCGAATCACACACCTACTGAGCGACATATCAGACTGGATGTCCCTCCACTTCCTTAAACTGAACCTCTCCAAAACCGAGTTTCTTGTCTTCCCCCCAGCCCGGACACCCCCCCCATTGACTTCTCCATCACGTCCAACAACGCCACCATCATCCTGCCCCGCAGGCCAGAGTACTTGGTGTCATTCTGGACTCCAACCTATCCTTCCAGCCCCAAGTCCAATCTTTAACAAACTCATGCAGACTCCACCTCCGCAACATCGCCAAAATCCGCACGTTTCCTAACCCCCAGAAACCACTAAACAGCTCATCCCACTCCCTCATCGTATCACGACTCGACTACTGCAACTCCCTCCTCACTGGCCTGCCTCGTCGCTGGCTATCCTCGCTTCAGTCCATCCTGAATACGGCAGCCAGACTCATTCACCTTTCCAACCGCTCCATCTCCGCCAACCCCCTCTGACAATCCCTGCACTGGCCTCCACTCAGTGTCCTCCTCCCCCCTCTGCCAATCCCTCCACTGGCCTCCAATCAGTGTCCTCCACCCCCCTCTGCCAATCCCTCCACTGGCTTCCGATTGCGCAACGGATCAAATTCAAAATCCTAACACTGATGTACAAAGCCGTCCACCATACTGCCCCCGAACTACATCACCGACCTAATATCCAAGTACCGCCCAGCACGCACACTCCGCTCCTCACAAGACCTCCTTCTCTCTAGTTCCCTGGTCTCCTCTCCCATGCCCGCCTCCAGGACTTCTCCAGGGTGTCACCCATCTTCTGGAACTCCCTGCCCCAACCCATCAGATTATCACCTACTCTCCTCTTCTTTAGGCGCACCCTGAAAACCCACCTCTTCAGGGAAGCCTACCCCACCCCCTGCTAACTTGATGACCTCCTCCACTCTTCCTACCACTCCACCCTCCACAGCTATCTCCTCCTGTGCCACCATCCCCCTCCCTCCTAGATTGTAAGCTCGAAAGAGCAGGGCCCTCGAACCCTTCATGTATCACATTGTATTGTTATTGTTCTGTCACATGTTCTCTCCCCCTCTGTAATGTACAGCGCTGAGCGAAACTGTTGGCGCTTTATAAATAATACTGTATAATAATAATTAATATATATATACACAAACACAATATAACAGCTTCACCTCTTCTGGGAAGGCCGTCCACAAGGGTTAGGAGGTGTCTATGGGAAGGTTGGACCATTCTTCCAGAAGCACATTTGTCAGGTCAGGCACTGATGTCGGGGGAGGAGGCCTGGCTCACAGTCTCCGCTTTAATTCATACCAAAGTCTTTATGGACCTTGCTTTGTGCACTGGTGAGCAGTCTGTTGGAACAGGAAGGGGCCATCCCAAACTCTTCCAACAAAGTTGGGAGCATGAAATTGTCCAAAATGTCACCTTAAGAATTCCCTTCACTGGAACTAGGGGGCCAAGCCCAACCCCTGAAAAACACCCCCCACACCATAATCCCCCCTCCACCAAACTTTACGCTTGGCACAATGCAGTCAGGCAAGTGCCGTTCTCCTGGCAACCGCCAAACCCAGGCACATCTATCGAATTGCCCCAGACAGAAAAGCATGATTGGTCACTCCCCAGAACACATCTCCCCTGCTCTAGAGTCCAGTGGTGGCGTGCTTTACACCACAGCATCCGACGCTTTGCATTGCACTTGGTGATGGAAGGCTTGGATGCAGCTGCTCGGCCATGGAAACCCATTCCATGAAGCTCTCTACTCACGCACTGTTGTTGGGGCTCATCTGAAGGCCACACCAAAGTTTGGAGGTCTTTAGCTATTGACTCTGCAGACAGTTGGCGACTTCTGCGCACTGTGCGCTTCAGCATGCGCTGACCCCCCCTGGCATGTGACGTGGCCTACCACTTAGTGGCTTTTGTTCCCAGTTGCTTCCACTTTGTTATAATCTAACAGTTTGAGCGTGGAATATTTAGTAGCCAGGAAATGTCACGGATGGACTTATTGCCCAGGTGGCCACCTATCACGGGGACCACGCTTGGAGTCACTGAGCTCCTGAGAGCGACCCATACTTTCACCAATGTTTGTAGAAGGCCTAGGGGATGATTTTATACACCTGTGGCCATGGAGGGGATTGGAACACTACAGGGGATGGAACCTGAATCACATGATTTGGAGGGGATTGGAACACCTGAATCACATGATTTGGAGGGGATTGGAACACCTGAATCACATGATTTGGAGGGGATTGGAACACCTGAATCACATGATTTGGAGGGCGGGGTCAATTACTTTTGGCAATATAGCGTATATTCTTCAAACATTAGGTGTTGTGTGATCTTCCCCACCCTACCTAAAGCTATCCATACATAGATCAAAATTCAATCCATGTATGGCCATTGTGGTTGAACAGAATTCATTCTACCAATCTACTTCTGTTCAACCACACTCATATGAACATTCTTTTGCTTGATCAGAGCTGCAGGCAATTGGTTGCAGTGCTGATCAGATCAGTGTATTCTTACAGTGGGGGAGTCTCCTCGATGTCAGAAAACAAAGACACAGCAGGAAAGATTCCACCATCCATCTATGTGTTGATGGGGGAAACCATTGGATGAACTACAAAAAAAATGACTCGCGTAAAGCTGGCCAAAATTATTGAATGTCAGCTAGTTCACCAGGAACGGGGCCGAGATTCAAACCATGTATGGGCAGGCTGAATGTATCCCAAGTTGATCGAATCAACCAGATTTTCCATCAATCGGATTTTACTTGCAATCATTGCTAGCCCCTATTACAGCTGCTAGCAGTAATCACAGTTTCCCCCCTGCCCCCCGCTGGGAGAACACAATGGCTCTGCAGGCAGGGGTTCCCCATCAACACCGCTTGCGGTTACAGAAAAAGAGAATCACTCAGTCTATGGCCGACTTAACATACATTCCCATCCCTTCGGTACAGCATACACTTGTGAACTACCGTATTTTTCGCACCATAAGGCACTTTTTTCCCCCCAAAAAAGGGGGGGAACAATGTCAGTGCGTCTTATGGGAGCGAAATATGGAGCGGCCGGTCCGGTATTTCCACCGCCGCCGTGTCAGAATACCGGGGCCGGCCGCTCAGCTCTACAGCGGGACCTTATAGAGATGACTGCTGACCTTTGGGGAGGGTGGGGGAGTGGGTACCTGAATTTGACAAGTACCCGCTCCCACTTCGTGAAGTGGATTTGTTCTTTCATCTTACCTGTTCCTCTATCCAGCGGCGCGGTGTCTTCCGGCTTCTGTATAGTGTGGGACATGACAGGGGTGTCAAGTGCGCATGCGCTAGAAGCGGTGCTTTTTGTGAATGGTAAGGCGGCACCTGGGACATCATGACAGATCCCAGAAGCCGCCGGAACCAATCACAAAGCGCAAAGTGCTTCTCGCTCATGCGCACACTGGGCACCCGGCTGTCATGCCTGCGTTCACGCATTACCAGAAGCCAGGAAGACAGCGCGCGGCTGGATAGAGGAACAGGTAAGATAAAGAACAACTCCGCGGAAAGTGGAGACGGGTACTTGTCAAATTCAGGTACCCGCCCCACCCCCTCCCCAAAGGTCAGCAGTCATCCCCTGTGCTGTCCGCAGTCTTGGTCATCCCTGTGCTGTCCGCCAGAGTCTTGGTCATCCCTGTGCTGTCCGCAGTCTCTGGTCATCCCTGTGCTGTCCGCATCTCTGGTCATCCCTGTGCTGTCCGCAGTCTCTGGTCATCCCTGTGCTGTCCGCAGTCTCTGGTCATCCCTGTGCTGTCCGCAGTCTCTGGTCATCTCCTGTACTGTCCGCAGTCTCTGGTCATCCCTGTGCTGTCCGCAGTCTCTGGTCATCCCTGTGCTGTCCGCAGTCTCTGGTCATCCCCTGTACTGTGTCCGCATTCTCTGGTCATCTCCTGTACTGTGTCCGCAGTCTCTGGTCATCTCCTGTACTGTGTCCGCAGTCTCTGGTCATCTCCTGTACTGTGTCCGCAGTCTCTGGTCATCTCCTGTACTATGTCCGCAGTCTCTGGTCATCCCTGAACTGTGTCCGCAGTCTCTGGTCATCTCCTGTACTGTGTCCGCAGTCTCTGGTCATCTCCTGTACTGTGTCCGCAGTCTCTGGTCATCTCCTGCACTGTGTCCGCAGTCTCTGGTCATCCCCTGTACTGTGTCCGCAGTCTCTGGTCATCCCCTGTACTGTGTCCGCAGTCTCTGGTCATCCCCTGTAACTGTCCGCAGTCTCTGGTCATCTCCTGTACTGTGTCCGCAGTCTCTGGTCATCTCCTGTACTGTGTCCGCAGTCTCTGGTCATCTCCTGTACTATGTCCGCAGTCTCTGGTCATCTCCTGTACTATGTCCCCAGTCTCTGGTCATCTCCTGTACTATGGTCCCCCAGTCTCTGGTCATCTCCTGTACTGTGTCCGCAGTCTCTGATCATCTCCTGTACTATGTCTGCAGTCCCATTAGTTCAGAATTTTTTTTTCCTGTTTTCTGCCTCTAAAACCTAGGTGTGTCTTATGGTCAGGTGCGTCTTATGGAGCGAAAAATACTGTAAGTTTTTATATGGGTGAAGGTCTTGGACTTGCTGGTTGGCAACTTGGGTCCGAGATGGAATGAGGGACTATAGGGGAGACTCAGCACTTATATTGTTAGAATTTGTATTGCCATGCTGTCATAATACCTGTAAGTGGTAACAATAAAATCACTCTGTTTCAGAATTACATGTCATTGGCAAACAATTGTGAAGGCGAAGTCTTACTGGACAAATTGTACCGAGATATTTTGGAATTAGGAAGAGAAGCTGTGATTGGATTCTGGGAATGTCTTTGCGCCTTACAGAAAGTCCACCCGAATCCTAATCTATTGGCGGATTTTTTTTTTTTTTTAATTTAAATATTTATTAAATTTTTCATATTAATACAAAAACCCAAAAAGGGAAAAAATTCTCAAACAAATAAACATTTATAACATTTCTATCTTTCCCTTACTAAAATCTCTTTTCATTCCCATCCCACTACCCCCCTTCCCACCCTCATCCCCCCTCTCCCCCTCTGCAGACTCCCGCCCATTCTACTTTCTTGAGGCTTGTTAATTTTTGCTAACATCTAGTTCATATTCCTATATTTCTCTATTCAATCCTGCTCTTTCCCATTTTTCCCATCTCCTGAAATAAAACTCATCATCATAATTTTCCTGTATATGGTATGGATCTTTTTCCATTCTACCTATCTGGTTTACTCTATTAATCCAGTCCTTCTCCTTTATCGGTACAATCAGCCTTCCGCCAAAACTTAGGTATCAACCCTTTCGCCGCACTTCAAGAAATACCAAATACCTTTGGAGTCTTTATATTTTATTTATATGATTTACTGATGTCCACATTGTGTAGGAGGCACGTCGTTGGGATCTAACCCCTCTTGTCAATTTCAGTTATTTCTTTGATTCAATTTGACTATTATTTCCAAAAAAGCCTGGGATTTTTCGGGACATTCCCACATATGTGAAACACACCGTGCCATATCCCTCCACATCACTCTCCATACACTTATTTGTGTTCTCCCCATTCATCTTGTGCTCTACACTCTCGGTGTAATGTGCATCGTGTTACCACACTTATAATTAACCTCAATCCTCTCTCATACTACACAATTATCGTGTAATCAATCTAAACATCGTTCCTTCTGACTAACTCTTCATCAAAACCCCATCTCCCATATCTCTTTCCCATTTTGTTGATAAAAATTTGACTCTTGTGTTTGTGTTCCAATATCTGTGAGTTATTCTATACCACTTTGTAAATACCCGTGTGCTTCCCAAGCCCTTCGTGTCTCCTCACAACACTTTCAAACATATTCACACTCCTGTTTTACTCTCAGGGGTTTCGGTAAGATTTCCAATAAAACATTTCAATAGTGATATTTTCCATTCATCTTTTCATATAAAAACATATTCACCTTATTCTACTTCAAATCTTTAAGGTGGGTCTCCAACATTCCCTCTACATCCATAAACTTCTCTCAGTTGAGTTAGGTCAACAAACCTCTTTTCTCATACCATCTCCCTGATATCTTATTTTTTCCCGGAGGAAGAGTACTGCAGTATTTGTGAGAGGCATTTAATATAGAGACATTAAATCTTCCCATTTCATATTTTTTTGGTGGTAAAATTGGTCCTTATAACTCCTAAGAACATTTCTAGAGTTGTAGATACTTGTGCTTTCTTTTGATTCCCCCTAAACTGTGTGTGGAACCCATCTCATCTGGTTCTATCTAATGCTCACTTCGATCAATTTTCAATTGTTACCACAACTTTTCTCATTATTGGTTAAATTGTTCCACCGCGATCATATATTCTTTAAAAAAAAATTTTACTAAACACACATGCTTTACTAGTATCTCTTGACATCCTGGTAGACCAATAACCCCTTTTCTCCTTTAGTCGCTACTCAATGTTTCCATATGCTATTCTGTGATTTTTTATTCGTCCAATATGTATCTGTTAAGCAGTTTTTTTTCATTATCTTAAAGCAGGCTTCTGAGGACTTTTAATGTGTACCAATTTGAAATCTATACAGTATGTTCAGGCATCATTACACCCTTTAGTGACCTAAGTTTATACGTCCCCTATCCAGGATGGATTTCTCGTTCCTAAATCTTTTAACTCTGCCATGATCTCATTTAATTCAAAGAGATCTATAGCTTTTAATCTATACAGATGCTTGGATGAGGCAGTGAGTAATATATTCCTAGGTATTTTATCTATCTTCTTTTCCTCTCCCGTATGTAAACTGGGAAATTCATTTTGTTGTAGTTTTTCTTTTCTCGGTTGTGGAATGATAATATTACTTATTACAGGATCTCTGTTTTGTCGTTGGATCTAATTTTTACCATGTTGATAGTTCCACCGTACTCCTTACAGAATCTTCATTAATAATTGGGAGGAGTTATTCGGGGGTTCCTCGCCCCACATCGAACACTAAGTCAGTCCCGCCAAGGCCGCTACATCTATGCTCCTATGGATTCTATCTGATATTCTCCTGTACCAGATTTCCACTATTATCTTATGACTTGACTAACAAGGGGGTTTTCGTAGTGACAATTACATATAGCAGGGGGGCTAGGTTCGTGGGCAAACTTGTCTTGTACAGTGAGACATTCCAATCGGGTTCTGATCTCTCTCCATTTACCGTGATTGATTTGCAGTAGGTGCTCCCTATCGTACTTTACTTAATCCACTCTACGCATTCTGATCGACCTATATCCCCCGGACTTTTAAGTTGTCCAATCCATAATAGCCCCAGTCCACTCTATCGAATGCCTTCTCTGCGTCAATCGACAAGAGCAACCACCGGCGGCTTTCCCTTTTCTACTTTTTCTGATAAAGCAATGCGAGGTTCTCAAGCCGTTATCCTCTACTTCTTCTCCCCGTTACAGAAGACCATCCGATCTGCGTCCATGACTATCCATATCATGCATCAAGTCCTACTCAACCTGTATTGCACCCACACCATCTGCACTATAGTCTTTAATTGTCAGTACTCTACCAAACATTGTATATAGGTCTATCAGCTAGAGCGTATGAGAATGATCTTTCACTCTCCTTTAGGAAGTGTGTCGATATCTCACATGTGAGCACTGTAGGGAAATTCTCTCCCTCACTACCATCCACCTCCGAGAGCAGGTACATAGAATCTCGCCAGCTTGGGTAACAATGACTTCAACGTAAATATCTCTGCGCAGTGATGAGTGACTTAACACGCATGTAACCATCCGGTTGTCGCCTTGGGCTTTTTCCCCCCCGGTGCTTTTTAAATGCTGTTTTAACTTTCTTCACCTGGGAAAATTTCTGCAGACTACGCATTCAACTTTGAGGATGGTTCACTTAGTTGTTGGTAATCATCTCATTTTTCTAAGTATGACCATCTATTATTTTCTTAATTCCTCTCTTTGAAGTTTCTTTAGAGGGCCCTTGGGACTAATCTTATATAAACTTTTGATAATACTTACTGCACTCCGTAAGACACTTTAATAATCTCTTTATTTCGAGTGGACCAAACTACCCCTTTGAGCTTTTATCTTTTCTAATATAGTGGGTCCTATTTTTCTTTTTATTCAAAGCTCTCAATTAGATCTCTTCCTGGTCTGTTCACCACCAATCTATATCTCTCGTTCATAACCCCAGTTGTTTATACTCTTCTCTTCTCCTCATCCATCAACCTCTCTTGTTCATCATTTTTATCCAATAACTTCTGTGTTGTCGTATCATTTGTTATTTTCTTTTTATGTATCTGTTTACTAATATATATACTTGTAAATAGCCCACTGTCTCCTCCTCTCTATCTTTTCCCTTTTTTTCGTTAGCTCTTGCCAGCATTCAAGGGTTTCCTTCTTATGATATACCCATAGTAAGCTTTTCCTCAGACAGTGTGCTATCGGATACTTCCGCTGTTTCGTTCTCCTTAAAGTAGTACCTTTAATCTCTCCTTCCTCGATTTCTGAACTACCTCTCATCTAGGACGAGAACCTCATTTAACCTCCACCCTAATCCCCAATCCACCATCTTCCCCATCCCATTTTCATTACGACCGAGCTTGGTCGAGACAGTCCATTGACTCTATGTCCAAATTTTACCCAGGTGATCTATAAGTTGATGGTACATGTTAAGATGTAATCTAATCTCCGAGTATAATCTCATGTGCCTTAGAGCAAGAAAGTGTACTCAGTCTCTGTCCTTTCATTATGCGTTTAAGTTCTCCAGGTATCTCACTAGTATGACATTCAATACATCGCTTTTCTTCAAAGCTCTCAGGGACCTACTCCCCTCTCTCTGCACAGATGAGGGTATCTATCCCTTTGTGGATCCATACAGAAATTTACAGGACTCCAGCTACTATCAAGCGCCCATTTTTTGAAAATTCCATTAATTTTTTCAACAGTCCACTTCATATATATCTCCGGGTTTTTTATTTAGAGCAGTATATATTGCTAAAGTACAACTCTCATCCTCCTGACGTCCTAACCTTTAAGCATACAAACCACCGCCTCGCTGGGTCGGGTTCTATTCTATCCACCCAGCTCAAATTCTCATATTCTTAGCCAAACCTATTGTCAACCCCTTTTGCTACATACAATTGGAGATCCTGCATTAGTAACCATATTGGGTAGTGTTTAAGATTTCAAATTTCCACATTTTTGCCTTCTATCATCAAGGAATGCGTCTCCTGTA